GCCGCTACTATTAGCCTTAAGGAAGATCCCTGGCAGGCCAGAGAGGGATCCTGGGAGGAGGAGGACGGAGGCCCCTCCTCATCCCCCACTGAGAGGGTGGGGCGGACGAGACCCTCCCAGGCGGACAGAACTGTCCCCACCGGAGTCTGGCTGGTAGCAAAGGCCTTGCCCGCCTGGCGGCTTTAGTCCCCTCCAGATTTCAGACATGAAGCCCTTCTTGGTCTGGGGAGAAGCAGCCGCCCTTTGGCTGGGGAGGGGCTGCCCCTGCCAGGCATCCGGGGTGGGAGGGGGCTCCTCTCCATCCCTGCCCCTGTGCAGGATGCCTTCCCTGGCAGCTGCCTGGCCGGTGCTCCCAGGACCGGCCCCTCCTGGGGGGGGAGTGCGGGGAGGGCTGTGAAGGGAGATCATAAAGCTCAGCCTGGGGGGGGCAGGGGGGAGCAGGTGCCCCCCCGCCACCCCCTGATGGAGGCTCAAACTCTCCTCTGCAGGTCCAGAGCAACCTGGGAGACTTCCAGTTCCTCTTCATCGACCTGGCCATCATTTTGGTGCTGGTCTTCACCAGTGAGTAAGACAGGCGGTGGGGGGGGGCTCTGGGTTGGCGCTTGTGCTCCCCTCCCCCACGGGAGGATCACCTGGGGCGCTGGGATCCCTACCTGCCTGCAGGCAGATGAGGGGGCCGTCTTTTGGTCTGTCCCCCCCCCCTCCTGGCCTGGTGGCTTCCTGGAGAGGCCCAGGCCCAGCCATAGGCCTCCCTCCAGTTTTGCCGGGCAGGGGGACAGGAGAGGAAGGCCCCCCCCCCCCCAGACAGGCTAAACCTCCTTCTTTGCGATCCCCACTAATATATCGTTGCACACGAACTAAGCCCGTCTCTTTTAAAGAGCCTAATAATTTGTGTCGCTTCCAAGGCTTTTGCTGCCCTTTGTGCGGTTTGGGCCGTGTGGTGTGGGCAGATTTGCCTGATGGCCTCTCCTCTCCCTGCAGTGAGCCTGAACCCGGCGTGGACAGAGCTCGTGGCTCAGCGGCCGCCCTCCGGCCTCATCTCGGGGGCCCTCCTCTTCTCCGTCCTGTCCCAGATCCTCATCTGCCTGGGCTTCCAGGTCCTGGGCTTCCTGTGGGTCAAGCAGCAGCCCTGGTACACGACTTGGACCCCCTCCTCGGAGTAAGTGGCCAGAATGCCCATCCAGCACAGCTGAAGTCACCGGGGAGAATCGTGGCCACGACGAGCAAGGCTCGCCCGGCTTTTACTGGGAAGGCCCTTCCCAGCTGCTTCCGTAGCTATTCAGCAGCCATTTCGGTTGCCGCGACTTCGGGAGCTGATAACTGTTCCCGGGCCCTGGCCCGGAGAGAGCATGCAAGCCGAGAGGCCACGGAGCACGAACACGCCTGTACTTATGACCGCTGGGCTCCTGGGCTGCTGAGCTGGGATTCAGGAAATCTGCATTCTGAGCCTTCCCCCACTAGATGGCAGCAGGGAGTTATAGAAAGTTGAGCATTTTGCCCTCACCTGGTGGCCAGTGATGGGACTTCTGCAGCCCTGGCTAAGCTGTGAAACCTTCTAGCCCAGGGGTAGGCAACCTTGGCTCTTTTATGACTGGTGGACTTCAACTCCCAGAATTCCTGAGCCAGCCACGCTGAGGGGAAAGGGAGAGGTTTCCAAGCTGAGCCAGGCTGGCTCAGGAATTCTGGGAGTTGAAGTCCACGAGTCATAAAAGAGCCAAGGTTGCCTACCCCTGTTCTAGGGTGGCAAGCAGTTGCCTGGCCTTCCCCTTTTCTCAACACTTTTTTTGCTTTGAGTATTGACAAAACCCCGGAGAGGCTCCTGACTCCCACCCCAGTTGCAGAGGGGAGGAGGCGCCTGGTTGGACCCCCGGGAAAAACAAGGTTTTTCGGCTAAGGCCGGCCTTGACCCGATCCAGCAGAACGGCTCTTGCCTTGTCTCCAGCGGAGTCTCCGGAGCGAAAAGCCCCGGTGTGCCTGAGGTGCTGCTGTTCGGCCCAGCACTCCCTCCGTGCCAGGGGAAATGTTGGTTTTCTCCCTTCCCCGGCTCCAGAGAAGGCCGGCCTTCTGGCCCTCTGCCCAGAGATGTAGGGAGGGGAGCTGCTCTGAAAGAGGGCTGCAGAGCCTGGGAGCCCACGCTCCTTCCTGGCCCCTAAAAGGCTCTCGCTAGGGAGGATGGCGGCTTTGCCACCAAGCGCTCTCCCGAGCGTCTGCAGGCCCAGCTGCAGACCGTCACGAGGGGGGGGGTGGCGGGATAAGCATTCCAGGTGGGACAGCAGCAGCAGCAGCAGGAGGCGGGCGGTTGGGCGGCTACTGGTTCAAGAGCAACCAAAGCCCCCCTCCTCCTCCTCCTCCTCCTCCTCCTCCCCCCCAAGTGGGCTTCTCCCCCTCCCCTTCCCCAGAGAAGAGGGAAGGGTCCCTGCCAGTTTCACCCTCTTCCTCCAGAGGAAGGCTGGGCCCGTGGCCGGAAGAGGCTGCGCTGGTTCTGCGGTGGCCAAAAAATCAGGAGCAGTTTTTCCGCCTAATTTTTCCCCCCCCCAAAGGCAGAGAACATTTTCACAATCCGCAGCTCAACACACCAGTTGCCGTGGCGTGGCCAGGCCGGTGTACGATTTAAATAATATTTTCTTCTTTTGTTCTTCCATCGTATTGTCCTTTCGGACCAAGGGTTATTAATTATTTGCAAAATTTGCAAAAAAAAAAAATTATTTGCAAAAATAAGGAGTCTAACCTCACTTTTCTAACCAATTTCATTACGAGGCAGAAGCTTTCGCGAGCTGCACCTTGTTCACTGGAAGCCGGCCGGGTGCAGCCCGTGAATTGGGGTGAGATGGGAAGGGAAGGTCGGTCGGTCGGCTGGGCAGGTCACATGTGAGAGGATTGCCCGGTCAGTTGGCAGTCCTAGTGAATTCTTTGCTGAGACCCGCTGAGGTGGCCTGAGGCGCTTCATGCGAGTTCAGCCACTTCTCGTTCAGGGCTGCCTCCGCCCAGCCGCTCTCTGCCTCCAATGGGAGCCCAGATCCTCTCTGGAGTTTCTGCTCCCAGCGTGGCCCCAGACAGCCCGGCCAGTCCTGGAGGGTCAGGCTCCCTTTCCCCTTGGCGGACCTTGCCCAGCCCAGGCTCTGGAGCCAAGAGTGGGGACTCGGGGCGCCTGCGCTGCCTGCCGTGCGAGAGGGGAGGCTGCTCAGGGCGGGGGGCCTTGGGGACCCTGCAGGTGGGCTGGGACCGAGCAGAAGGCCCAGCGTGGAAGCAGACCAGATTCTGGGGTGCTGCGTGGTTCCCTTTGGTCTCGGGGGTGGTGGTGGGAGGGGGACATAGAAGGGGGGGGGCAAGAGAAAAAGTGGCCAGATTGGCTGCTGCTGAAGGGCCTTTGGGCGGCTGGCAGGAGAGGGGGGAGGGTTGGGCCTGTTTCCCCCCCCCCCAAAATGAAGACGATGCTTCCCTGGTTTGCCTGCAGAAAGCCCAGCAAGGGTGTGTGTGTGTGTGTGTGTGTGTGTGTGTGTGTGTGGCATTCTAGTTTTTCCCAAAGGCTTATATAGGCCGGAGAGGCTGGTGAGCCCAGAGTCCCTGGCGTCCGGGGCCCGGCTGAGCCGGATGGCCGCAGAGGAAGCCGCTGGCTGAGCCCGGCCTCTCCTGCGTGGCCAATCCTCCCTCCCGCTTGCCTTCCAGCGCCTGCAACCTCTCGGCTGCGGCCAACGGTTCCCAGCCGGCCAACGTCTCCCATCACGATGAGCACAACATCCAGAACTACGAGAACACCACCCTCTTCTTCATCTCCTGCTTCCAGTACCTCATCGTGGCCGTGGTCTTCTCCAAGGGCCGGCCCTTCCGCCAGCCTTGCTACAGGAACTGTACGTGGCCCAGCCGGGAGGGGGGGGAGCGCTTGGCTTGGGGGAGGCCGGAAGCCTTGCAAAGGCTCACGCACACACACACACACACACACACACACACACACACAGAGCTGAGCAAAGACTGGTGAGGGGGGGTCTTGGGGGTCACGCCAGAGGGAAGCGCTGGCCTCCAAAAGGCACCAAGTCTGGCCCTGGGTGGGGGTCAGGCAGGGGTCCCCGGAGCAGTTTTCTCTCTGCAGTGGAGGCAGCTGACCCCTCTTTCCTCCCCAGATCTGTTCGTGATCTCCGTGGTCGCCCTTTACGCCTTTGCTCTGACCATCCTGCTGCACCCGGTGGCAGCCATCGAATCCTTCTTGGAGGTAGGAGGGGGGCCTGGCCCCCAGCCACTGCATCAGCCCCCTCCCCAGCCGCTGAGCCCTCCTTGGGGTGGCCCTGCAGCAGTGGCCACTTGGGCTCTAGGGCCGGCACCCGTCTGGGGGAGAGGCCAGGCAAGGAGGGCTGGTTGGGGACCCCCAAGGCCGGCGGAGACACCGGGGTGAGCTTCTCCCCGGTCCCAGGGTGGCCCCTGGGGGCTCCTGGAGGAGGGGCTTCCACCCAGCCCCTCCCCCATCACCTGAGCGTGTTGTTGCTCCACAGCTGGTCTGCGTGCCTTACGCCTGGCGGGTCACGGTTCTCGTCATCGTCATCGCCAACGCCGTGGTGTCCTTGCTGGTGGAGGTGAGTCGTGGGGAGCTGCTCTTTCTGCCGGCCGCAGAAGGTGCCTTCTGGGCTTCGAGGTGGGGGCCGAGCGGGCAGTGCCCGAGTCGCCGGAAGCCCTGCCAGACCCTCCGGAAGGGGGTGGGGTTCTCCTCTCTCCCCTAAGTGGGCGAACTTCTTCGGGCTTTGTGGTAGTTGACACTAGCTGGTAGTTGAGCCCAGGTGGTCCCAAGGCCCCCCTGGCGTCGGGGGAGGAAGGGACCCTCACTTCAGGCACCGGGTGTGCTGGGCAGGAAGGGTTGCCCTCTGCATGCGCCTCTCTGCCAGCCCCCTCCCCTCCTCCCCCTCCTCCCCCTCCCCCTCCTCCTCCTCCCGGGAGGCCCCTCCCCAGCTGTCCTTCTCTGCGGTGACGTGGCTCCGGCTGTGGGGCCCTCCTGATTGTGCCTTCTCCATTCTCCCTGCTTCTCGAATCAAACCACAGAACTTTCTCCTTGACCTGGTCCTCTGGAAGGTCCTCTTCAGTCGAGACAAGCCGGGGGAGGACCGCCTAGCTTCCTCCTCCTCCTCCTCCTCCTCCTCTTCCTCCTCCCCCCACCCGTCTCAGGTTGGAACTCTGCACGTTTCCCCCCTCCTCAAGCATGCAGCGGCTCCCCTTGGAAGGCGGTTGGTGGGGCTGGAGAAGAGCTGGGGCTGGCCTGTGGGGCGCTTGGCGGAGAGCAGGTGGTCTGATAGGCAGGGCAGGGCAGGGCAGGAGGGTCTTGGCTTCGCTGCAGACCCCCACCTCCCCACCCAGAAGCTCCGGGGGGGGGGAATAGAGAACGTGGGCGAGGGGAGGTGGGCTCTGGGTCTTCAGCTTAGAGGACTGGCACTTAGGCTTCCGGACAGCACACACACACACACACCCTTGGCCCCCCTGTAGGCAGGGGACGGGGCTCCCTTGGTCTGCAGCTGAATTAGGGCACCCTGGGGCAGGGGTGGGGGGAGTTAGGCGGGGCGGATCCGAGGGTTCTGGCATTGGGAAGCCTCCCCCGTGCGCCTTGTGGGGGAGGGGTCAGGCCCAGCTTCCCACCCTCTCTCTCCTTCCAGGAGGGGCTGGACCGCTGCTGTGGATGCTCCTTGCTGGGGCTGCTGGGCCTGAAGAAGAGGCCGCCCAAGGCCCGCTACATGCACCTGGCCCAGGAGCTGCTGGTGGACCCGGAGTGGCCGCCCAAGGGCCGCACCACCACCGAGGCCCCCGGCCCCTCCTGCCGAAACGGCTCCTGCCAAGTGGTCACCATGACGTAGCAGAGGCCCCCCCTGGCGCAAGCTGGGACTGCCCACGGCCTGGCCTCTCTGCTGCTGACCGGATGGACGGCCGGCCGGGCTCCCCTCCCTCCCTCCCTCCCTCCCTGCCGATGCCCGTCTTCCTCCCCCCAGCCGCCTGGGCTGAGTGCCTGGCAGGACATTTCTCTCTCTCTGTCTGGAGGCCTGCCTGGGACGGAGCCCCTGGCTGCTCTCGGCCTCCCGCAAAGGACCGCCTGCCTTGGCCAACGGGCAGAAGGGCTTCTCCCTCTGAAACTATGCACGGAAACGGGCACTCGGCCCCTTCGGAAACAGGGGGGTCTCTCTGGCAGGCCTCCAGGGGAGGGGAGGATTGCTCCCTCTGTCCTCCCCCCCCCCGATCCTGGGAGGGCTAGATCTGCCCCTCCCTGCCTAGCTATATGGGGCTCTCTCTGCCGCTCGCCCTGGCCTCCAGGAAAGGGGCTGGAGCTGTTTGGGGGTTTGCAGGCTGCTAGTTGCCAGCCGGAGAACCTCCCTCCCTCCTGATCCCCAAATGTCTCGCCACGTGCAGACCCCTCCCCTGTCTGGACCTCCAGGGGCCTGGAAAGCCCAGGGGCCGGGGCCAGGAAGCAGGAGGAGCTGGCGGCTTCCCACCCTCGTCTTCCTTCCGCAAGAGCTCTATGCAGGCGCAGGCAGGCGGCCTTCTGCCCCCTGGAAGCCTCTCTGGGCTCCTCCCCCCCCCCCCCAGGCCCCCAGGGCTGCTTTAACCGGTGGGAGCGCTTGGCAGAATCCTGGCTCAGAGCAGCCGTGGCTCCGTGGGTGGAGGCGCAGCCTTCCGCTGGGACAGCATCGCTTGGAGCATGACCAGGTGCCCCAAAAGAGAGAGGGGAAGGCCTGAGCAGGGGGACAGAAGGGGCAGCAACCCCAACTGGACAGGAACTTTTTACCCTGAGGCCCGAGCATTGGGCTGTGCAGCACACGGCCTAACGCTGCTCTCCCATCTGCGCTGCAAACGGTTGAGAGGGCGGCTGTGCCAAGATCGCAGCTGCTCCACCTTGGTGCTAAGAGTTGGACGGCTGCAACAACCAGGAAAAGCTGCTGGAGAAACGGGCTGCGGTCAGGCCTTCACGCCCAGGCCACGTGGGAAGGAAGGAAGACGGCCCACTGCAGCGTTTTTCCCTTCTGCATTTGAAATCCACAAGTATTTCGGCGGTTGGTGGTGGTCGTAAGGGAAGAATCTGTGAGGCTGCGCATCCTTCCTCTGACCCTGGAACTGTGGCTGGCGAGCGCCCCCCCCCTCTCTCTCTCTCTCGCTGCTGGGAAGCTGCGGCTGTCGGAGGAGGGGGGGAGACCCTCCTCGGGGTTTTGAAAAGCGCCCGCTGCACCTTCCAGCTCTTCCCCGTCCCCCCACAGCCAGGCAAAGAAAAGGGGGCCGGTCAGCAGACTTTGGGGGACTCGTAGAGATCGCCTGCACAGCGTTTGCACAGGGTCGTCGGGCTAAAAGCAATATTGTGTTGAACCTGCCCTTTGGGGAGCAGACGCGGGGACCCCTCCAAGAAAGCGGGTCTCCCCTCTGGAAGGGATGTGATGCATCTTCAGTCTGTTCCAATGACACTTAAAATTCCGAAGTTGGTGTTTTTAAATAATTATTTTCTTACACTTCCTTGTGAATTCGGGTGAACAAAGATCACTTTGCTAACTTGGATTCAGAGTGGTTCGTAAATTATTTGAGACAGACCTACCCCGAAAGCTGTAAGTTAGGATTGTATATATGGCCAATTAAATATTATTTTATTATTTATGCATATCTCTAAAGGATTTGCTTGCTCAAGAAAAGAGAAACTCTTAAATTATACTTTTTAAAGTATCCAGATTTTAAAATAATATATACACACACACACCTCCATCCCTCAGGGTTATTTTTTTATGAATGCTTTTATTTCTTCCCAAATAACTAATTATAGGACTGCTGGGTTTCATGGCACACAGGCACCCCTCCTCCCTGCACACGTGGGCAGACACCCCCCCTCCCTGGAGGCTGCCTGTGCCCCCCCCCAGCGCTTCTCGCAGCCGACACACGGCAACCCACCCATGGGGCAGCTCCCCCTCCCCGACTCCAGAGTGGCTGGGGAGGGGGCAGGAATCCTCTGCAATATCGGGGTCCTCGTGTCCTGCTGGAAAGACGGCCGCCTCAGATGGGTAAGGCCCACCCTCTCCCTCACCTGGCAGTTTTACGAACTTGCACTCTTCTTCATTTTTATTTATTTTTCCAGCGGGGAATCAATTCTCCTTCGCTGGGTGATTTTATCTACTGTAGTATATATTATGGCTGCATATCAGTAGTTACGAGGTGAAGAATAATTCTTAATGCTGCAAATGATCTTATTCTCAAAAGCTTTCCTTGATCGTCACAGACTTAAAAGGGCTTCGTGTTTTTAGCTTGCAACGATTAAATTCTAAAATCAAACGTTTGTATATATGATGGAAAAGTTGATTTAAAGGTTCAGATGTGATCATTTTAGGACACAGAAATGTCCAGTTTAAAAAAAAAAAAGTTTGTATGCAAATATGCAAACATTTGGATAAATTATGTATTTCCCTGCCACCAGCACCTCAGGCCGTGATTGCAAAGACCCCCTCATCTTAAAATGTTTGGAAAATACTTTTATTTAACAAGTGGCTCCGCATAAAAAATTATTTTGCTGTTTTTTATAATGGTACCCAGTTGTAATAAAGACATTTTATCTAATTGTAGTAAACAGCCTTGTAAAATCTGATGCGCCTGCCCTTCCCACCTTCCTGGGCTGCCCGTGTCCGACCCCACCGCGTTCCTTCCCTCGCTGGCCGCCTCTTGGCTGGCTGGGTCCCCCCAGCCCTGAAAAGCAACAGACAGGGAGGGAATGGCAGGGAAATTCTGTGGAAGGGGACACCTCACGACACAAAGCCCCCCCCCCATGAGCCATGATGAGTGGGGTCACCTCGCAGGTGGAACCTTCAGCCAGGTGAGGAGACGCAAAAGACCCTGCCTTGACTGGGACGAAGGGAGGGGTTTCCACGCTCGAGGCTCTGCCCTGGGGAACAGTCGGGGGGGGAGAAGTCCTGCCCCCCCTCCCCACTGTTGAGGCAGAGGCCCAGGGTCGGCTGCCTCTCCCACCGCTGCCCTGGGGGAACCTTCACCCACATTCCCAGGTGCCCCCCTGGGAGCTCATTTCCGAGGCCATGGAAATACATCGCAGTAAGGGCCAAAGTTGCCCTGAAGGCGCCCTCCGCTCCTTGAACGGGGGTCAGCCCAGGCCTCGCTCGCTCAGACGGGGCAGGCCGGACCCGACTGGGGGAAGGCTTCCTGGCTTCCAAGCACCCGGCAGCTGGCACCTTGCAAGGGCTGCACACACCGTGGGGCTGGGCAAGCAGGGGGAAGAAGGGGCAGAAGCCGGGAAGGAGGGGAGCCTGCCAGGCTCTGACAAGCGGCCCCCCTGGGGGGGAGCTTCAGGGCTGCCCGTGCAGAGGAGGCGACGGCAGTCAGGAACCCCGGCAGTCCCGGCTCCGGCCCCTTCGGAGAGAGGCCCACCAGAGGTGCCAGCTAAAGTGAGGACCCCGGCTGTCCCGCGGCCAAGAGAGGCCGGCCATGGAGGCCCGCTCGCCTGTACTGTGGTGGCCCCTCTCGCTCCGGCCAGAGGGAGGAGGCCAGGAGGAGGCCCGGGGCCGCCTGCCACACGGGCCCTGCAGCAATCAAGCAGGGCCCGCGTGGGCGCGAGGGAAGGAGGCCAGCTGCGCTGAAGCCTCAGCAGGGAAGCCGAGGGAGGCCCACCTCGCCCGGCCTGTCGAGGGTGGCGGCTCTTGAGGCAGGTTCCCCCACGCAGGAAGGCCAACGTTTCCTGCGGATCAAAATGATATAATAGAGTCTCCTGCTTGTGCTGGGGGTTGGACTGGAAGACCTCCAAGGTCCCTTTCAACTGCGTTAGTCTGTTCTGTTCTGAAATTTATCCTTGAGCCCTATGTTTTCTCATTACAGGAGCCAGAGAGTCAAAAAGGCTGAAGAAACATCTGTTGTTAGCCAGCCAGTTTTGCTGAATTTGTCAGTTTCGGTATCCCCCCCCCCCCAGCCCCTTGCCCTTCCCCCAAGGGGTTGCCCAGCATCTGGTCGACTTCAATTGACCCAAAAATGTAGGCATCAATGAGTTGAGCCAAACTGGCAGTCTCTGTTCCCTCATCTGGAGGGCTGTTCCTGCTCTGGCAACTTCCCATGGGCTACACCAGGGGTAGTCAACCTTGGCTCTTTTATGACTCGTGGACTTCAACTCCCAGAATTCCTGAGAAATTCTGGGAGTTGAAGTCCACGAGTCATAAAAGAGCCAAGGTTGACTACCCCTGGGCTACACACTCTCTCTCTCTCACACGCTCACAGACAGAAAGGGGGAGGGAGGAACGCATACAGTCCAAAAACATGATTTATAGGATTGTTTAGGATAAAGGACTGGGAGAATTAGACTAGTCTAACTGTGCAGGATCCAGCCAAATCTGGACCGTCATTTAAAAAGTTGTAAGGAAACTCGTAGAGGAGGGAACTAGAGGAAAAGCTATACTGGATCTAATTCTTACTAATAGAGAAGAAGTGATAGAGGGCGTTGAAGTAGTTGCCAGAGCTTTGGGCAAGAGTGACCATGACATACTGGAATTCAATATAATGCAAACACAAGCAACAGAATATAATCCAACCAGTGTCTTAAACTTCAAAAGAGCTGATTTTAACAAACAGAAAGAGCCTAAGAAAAATTCCATGGATAAAAATCCTAAAGGGGAAAACAACTCAAGAAGCGTGAGAAACACTGAAAAATATGAACACAAAAGCTCAGTCCAGCACAATACCACTGGAAAAGAAAAAAAAAAACAAGAAATCTAAGAAGAAACCAGCATGGCTGCACAAAGATCTCTCTGATAAACTGAAAGACAAAAAGGACAAGTACAAAAAGTGGAAAGAAGGACACATGCCTAAGGCAGTATATCAGCAGATAGTCCGAATCTGC